AAAACTTCAAAATGTTGAAAAGAGTATATTATGTAAAATTTCCCTCTTGTCCTTGTCTCCCAGCTCTCCAAGTTTTCCAGTGTTTCTGAATATTTATAGAGATGATTTATGCAAATACTGGTGTGTGTGTGTGTGTGTGTGTGTGTGTGTATAAATAAATATATATATTTGTTTATACAGAGGGTGCCAAAAAATGTATACACATTTTAAGAAAGAAAAAAACTGCATTAAAATTGTAATACTCAATATATACCAATAACAAAAGATGAATACAAGTCACATTTGATGTCTTCATTTACAAGAGGTGCTCAAAGTGGTTACCATCAGTGTAATTTTAATACAGTTTTTTCCTTTCTTAAAATGTGTATACATTTTTTGGCATCCTCCGTGTGTATATATATCATATATATGTTATATATATATATATATATATATATATATATATATATATATATATATATATATATATATATATGTTTGTATATATGAATTTATATACAAAGCCACACTTACACATTTATACACATATAGAAAAGTACTTGACACGAAGATTAATCAGATGGCGTGGGTTTAGAAAAACAGACTGTTTTCAACTGAATATGTGGAATAAAAGAGAAAGTGGTTTATTTTCATTTTATTGACTTTCATTATTTAAAGTAAAGCTTAACAAAAATAAAGTAAAATGTAGTAAAGCTTAGCCTTTTTAAATGACAGTTTTCTGGCTCATCCCTTAAAATGTATGAGAGAGAAATTGACGCCGTCCTCCCGGCTGGCTCAAGCCTAGCTCTGGCTCCATTTGCAGGTGACACAGCTCGACCTGAATTGCCCGGTCATTGGGGCACAGCTCTCTACTGAGCTGTTTTGCGCCGTAAATTATTGGTAAATGCAGGACACTTTACCTGAAATCCTTTGTGTGCTTTGGAAAACCACGAGGATGTCATGTTGCATTTCCCCTCTTGTCACTCTAGTTGCTATGGCACAGTTTCTTCTTTAAACGGAGAACCGGAGCAGGGTGTTGGCGTAGAAGCGGTGGGGCAGAGCGACTGTGGCATTTACGGAGAGGACACGGTGACCGATGAAGAGGGCAAGTTTCGACTCCGTGGATTGCTGGTGAGACCCGGAACACGTTTCATTAGGGGTTTGTTTTCATACGGTGTTCAGAGGTGTCCTGTGGTTGCCCCCAAGACTGCTGGGAATGGGCTGGGCTGGGCTGGGGGTCTGGGGGAGCCGGGGAGGGCGGTAAGGTTCAGGAACCCTCCCCCTTCCTTTCTTAACTGACACTTCCTGCCTTTTATCTAGCTGACATATTAGGTTGGGGTTTTGTGGCCAAATAAAGTTGGACACCATGGGTTTGGTGCAGCTTTTGCCTAGCGTTAGGTGGTGATGGTTTAGGCCAGGGCTCTCAGACCAAAGGCCTGTGGGGCCAGAAGACAAGTGGGAGTGGCCCAGGGAGGCTGGGTGCACAGTAGGGAGCAGTGGGGACTGTGGCGAACTGGAGAGGGTGTGGCCCATGTAAAGGGACAGCTGTCACTCAGCTCCAGCTCACTGTGGCCAGGTGGGGAGGCAGATGCAGGTGGCTACATTGTTTCAACTTTTAAAAGAAGAGTTGGAAATAGGCATTGCTGGGAGAAAACTCCCCAGTTTTAGATGTTAACAACTAATTGTAAAAAAACACAAAAACAAAAACCAGACTCACCATTTTTTTTGTGTGTGGGCCAAGCAACCAACTTATTTGTCCTTTTGGCTGCTAACTTGTAACATTTGGTTTAGGATCTGTGGTGCCTTTCTCCTCAGTTTTTATTTGTGCATTCATTCATTTGCTTATTCTTCAGACACCCAAGTGTATCCTGTAGAAGTCACAGAGAGAGCATGGGCTGGATGGCACCCACTGCACTGGGCCACTTGGATGTGGCGTTGGGTCCCCAGCCTTTCAGATTCGCAAGCTGTCTATTCTCAGTTGACCCCAGAGAGAGTCATGCGTATCTTGGCAACAGACTAATGTTTGCCCAGATCACGTGACATGTCAGTCGGTCTGCCGTTTTACTTAGATGCTCTACGGTGATGCTGTCCTTTCCCAGACACAAGAATACTTGTGTCCAGTGTCCTTAGAACCAGCCTCTCTGTCTCCCGCGTTCAGTGTGAGCCCCTGGCTTTGCAGCTTCGTTCTGTGTCGGCCGCACGAATGCCCTCCTACCTCTAGCCTCCCTGGGTTTGAAGCCTGCCTCTGTCATTTCTTTAGCTGTAGAAGTTCGGGCAAGTTGTCCACCCTTTCCTGTATCGGTTTGGTCACCTGTAAAATCAGGAGGAGGATAATGTCTGCCTTATAGCATTGGCTTGAGTCTTAAATGAATGAACACATGACAACACACAGTGGTGGCTGGCCCACTGACTCAGGAAATGGTCAAAAAGCAAAACAAACAGGACCTTCCCTGAGGTAGAACCTTCCTCAGTAGAGCTGCGAGCTTAGGTGCTTTTGTTTGCAGCTTTCTCACTCTAAGTCAGCTGCAGGAGAAGGGGCAGGGGTGTGTGNCGGGAAGAGTGCAGTGATGGTGCCAACTTGGGCCAGGGAAGCGATGTCCTCCACAACTAGACTGAAGAACAAAAGGACAGCAATTTGTCTGTTTCCCTTCCCCCAATTCCCCAGCGCTGTTCCCATCCTCCAATTCCCAATAAAAAAAAAAAAAAGAAATTAAAATTCTATGTTGCAGAATATATTTTACCCCACATTGAAAGACAGTCAAACCAGGAAGGAATGTTTGTACCATGAATAACATCCCCAGTTTATAAGGAACTTCTAAAATTGATAAGAAAAAGAAGCCAACAGAGAAAAGATGAGCAAAGGATATGAAAAGGCAATTCACAGAAGTGATGCAAGTGACTAAGAAACGTAGAAGAAAGCTGACACGTCTGCTCAGCTCCCGTAGTGACTGAGGAAATGCAAAGGACGTTACCATCGAAACACTGGGTTTTGGGTTAGATTTGCGATAATTAAGACAGTATCCATGTTGTGGAGAGCTTGTGTTTTCTCATGCCTGGATGATTTATGGAGCTGTCAATGGTGACAGCCCCTTTGGAGGGCAATTTGGTGGCATCTTTCTGAATTTCAAGTACACATACCCAACAGCTCTACTCCTAGGAATTAATTATTCAGGAAAAGGGAGAAACGTAAGTGCACAGGATATACACGTTCGGGGGGCCTTTCGATTGTGTCTTCTTTTCCATCACAAAGATGGGTTGCCGGCCTCTGCTCTAGAATAATATGCAACTGTTAAGACACATGAGGCAGGTCTTCTGTTGATGGACTGACCCAAGAGGAGAGTCAGGGTGCGTGGTTGAGGGAAGAAAGGGGGTGCAGGGTGTAGAGGGCCATTGTGTCTCGCCTCCCTTCCCCCCAGTAAACCTGCCAGTCCTTCAACAATAGCCGTGATGTTTATAAGCTTTGTGTGGGCATCGAAACGATCAAAACGTTCTGGAAGGCTGCACACCAAACTGGGAACATCCGTTACCCCTGGGGATAGAGAACAGACCTTTGGTTCCCCACAACGAATAACAATAAAAGAAAAACCATAAGAATTACCTCTTGACTCTTAAACTAATGTCCTCATGGCTGATGTGAGTTAAACTTGCTCTGTGTCCCTTTCTCGCCCCTAGATAAAAGCTGAAGATGACCAGCCCCTCCCTGGGGTCCTCTTATCCCTCAGTGGTGGCGTGTTTCGTTCCAACCTCTTGACTCAAGACAATGGCATTCTGACGTTCTCCAACCTGGTAAGGCGTCCTGTGACTTAGCGCCTGTCTGCCGCCCCCCCCCCCCATGAGGGAGCAGGGACTGGCGTGCGTGACTTCTGCGTTGCTTGACAACGTGAGAACAGCACACCAGCGTGGAGCGTTCGAAGTTTCTCAGGAGACCAAATGTAACCAGCACTTGAGGCTGCTGGTGTCTGTTTCCTTCCGCACACACTTCTTGTTTTCTGGTTGCCCACTTGTCACAGAGACAATGTAATTAACGATCCTGGGCTCAGGCGTCCCTTTGCTTTACTGCAGGATCCCGCTGCTTATAATACCGAGTCTTGTCTGGCGGTTGGCTTGCTTCTCTTCTGTAAGGCACGCTTCACCTGGTGGAGGGTAGCATCAGTTTTTCATTCCACATGTGGTCTGGTTGGTGGGGACTCAGGAAGTGCACGTTAATTGGGCGGTTTGTCAGTCCTGGGAGTACAGTGACGGGCATAGGGATGTCGCAGACGGGTGTATCTGAAAGTTCTCACGCTGCACGGTGATGCACCCCCAAGTTCAAGTCTTCCCTTAGCTACTGATTTGCTGTGTCATCTCAAGCAAGTTACTTGACCTCTCTGAGCCTCTGTTTCATCATTTCTAAAATTCAAATATGATTTCTACCTCCGAGTTACTGAGGGCACATGATGATGACACTGCTCTTGTTAGGCTTGTCTCTGCTGTTACTGTAACTGTTCATGGTAGCGTCAGGGGTGCCATTTCTGTCTGGGGAGGCCTGGAGTTCCTGTGGCACAACTCTGGTCCATCATGACTTTACTTGCCCTCTTTTAAGCCAGACCTAGATGTGGCCTTGGAGGCTCAGTTTGTTTGTGGTTGTCTCGGCAGAGCCCTGGCCAGTATTACTTCAAACCCATGATGAAAGAATTCCGGTTTGAGCCATCCTCCCAAATGATTGAGGTGCAGGAGGGTCAGAACTTGAAGATCACCATCACCGGGTACCGGACGGCCTACAGGTGAGCAGCCCCGGCCGCTGCCCTTTCTCTCTCTTCCAGGCCCGGGCGACAGAGTCCCACTCACGCTTCTGTTGTCCAGGCTCTCATCCCAGCCTCCATACTGATTTTATTTGAGAGGCAAGGGAGATAAGATAGAAGACTGCTGCCCTCTTCTTCTAATGTTTCAAACTAGCGATTCGGCCCCGAAGTTTCTGTTTTGAGGTTAGCCTG